ACTTTCGCCTTGGAAGCCGTTCGAAACGAAATCCGTCACGGTGGGTGACGCGTGCAGAATACGAAAATATTAGTTCCCTACGAAGCTCGTCATCTATCTCACTATTCAAGCCTTAGTGCGAAGAATAAGCTTAATTGGACTATTTGAGGAAGTTCTCTCGCATTGAGTAGCCTTGCTAGTTCATCCATATCGAACTGAGAAGCTCCGTTGCTGGAACTCCGTTATGGGTAGTTACCACATTAAAGCTTAAAATGGAAATAGTTTGGACACATCTGAAACCCGATCAGAAATCAATATATCCTGATGTTTCTTGAGTGCAGAGGGCTGTTTTGCGATGATTCACATCGGATGTATTCCATGCAGATTGATGCTGCAAGTTTTTGTGCCTAAATGGAATTTATCAAAATCCTTTCCGGCTCAAACACATCTGCTGAACCTTACTTTTTGTTCCAGTACAGCAATAGTAGCAGGAATCTTGTTAGTTTGAATAGCAAATTAATGAAATTGGGGCAATCAAAAGGGAAGAATAAAAGGTGAAGGTTTTGCATAACGTAGACTGACAAAGACTAACTCTTCTCATTGTTAATGAATCAATTCCATTCCTTTCTGGACTGCGGTCTGCGTCAGAGTTCGTGTGATTCTCTTGTGGGCTTGTTGGTAAGCATTTGGCAAGGTCATCCATTGTAAATTGAAAGGTATCCTGAAAAGAACGTAGAAAAATTGTAGTCTGGAATGAATCAGAATTACGGCTCACTGGTCATAGCAATGTTAGAATTTTCAGCATTCTAGCATATCTAACGACTGAGGCATTGTGTTAATTGGAAGAGTTGTCGGGATTATTTCGATTGGAAGTGGGTGTGGAATTGGTCAAACTTTTGAAGAAAACATCGGAAAAGGAAAAAGAAATGCGCTACCTTGCGGCCGTGTCACGCCAAAGGTTCGACAGGAGTCTAGTCTAGCAAGTGTGCGTTTTAGCAGAAAAGAAAACCTGCGTTCTCTAGAACTATGGTTGGTCAGGCGACAGCTGCTGCGGATACTACGGGAAACGACGGGATCGCCTGTTACACTTGCGCTTTGCCTCTCTGAACAAGCGCATCATTTTTATCGGATTGTTTCGGTGACATCTCGAAACGTTCACATATGGCTGCGGCCGCAGAGATGAATGCGGATTTCTTTATTCTAATCAGGGCTCATGGTCAGTGAACAGCACATATCTTTCTTGGAGGGCTTTCAGTCCACCGTAATCAAAACTGCTCATAATATGTTGATCTGCTTAGCAGAAGAGCTTCCTACAATATATAATTCGTTAAGTATGTCTGTGTGTGTGTGCGTCCGGTGTAATATAGGGGATGAGACGGGAGCATATTTGGTGAGGGACCGAGATTGATAGCAACTGACAGTTTCTGATAATATTCGCTGAAATTTAAATTTACGAATTCAAAGCGTTCGTTCCAGCAGCGAGGCGTTGGTTCCGACAACTGATGTAGAGGGTGGAATGGGAACACGTTTGGTGAGGGACAGAAAGTGATAAAGGCTGATAAGAGACGCCGAAACGCAAATTTCAAGAAATTCACTGCGGATGTCTCAGCAGCAGTGAGGCGTTGCTTCTGACAAGTGATGTGGAAGGTGAAATGGGAACATGTTTGGTGGGGATAGAAAGTGGTAAGAGCTAATAAGGGCGGATAATCACGATATGCGTAAGAACATAAAGGTTATTGGAACCAGATTCTAATGTGTTTCATTTCGATATCATTTCATTCGCGTTGCCATCTTCAGCATTGCATTCGATCGCTATTCAGCCCACAGTTCCTAAGAATGTGTGGTGGATGTTTGAAGACATACGTTGATGAGTACTGAGTTTCTATATTATCATCATTAGCATCAAATATTAATCGACCTACAAATTGCCCGGATATTTGATGCATGGTTGTTGTTTACTTGTTTACAGACACCATTTTAGCTCCGCACGCC